TGGCTCCTCTTCCACTCACCCTGAGGCAAGGTCTGACCTCCACAACAAGCACATGAAAAGATGTTCAACGTCACTAATCATTAGGGAAACGCAAACCAAAACTACAACAAGATGTTACCTTATATCTGTTAGAATGGCTATAATTACCAAGACAAAAAACAATAAATGTTGAAGAAGATGTGGAAAAAGGGAACCCTCATACAGTGCTGGTGGGAATGCAAATTGGTGCAGCCACTATGGAAAGCAATATGGAGATTTCTCAAAAAATTAAAAATAGAAATACCATACAACCCAGCTATCCCACTACTGGATACTTATCCAAAGAACTTGAAATCAACAATTCAAAGAGACTTTGCACCACTATGTTCATTGCAGCACTATTCACAATAGCCAAGATGTGGAAGCAACCCAAGTGCCCATCGACTGATGAATGGATAAAAAAGATGTAGTATATATATGGAATACTACTCAGACATAAAAAAGACAAAATCATTCCATTTGCAACAACATGGATGGACTTTTCTTAGCATGCAATTTAAGGGTATTGTCCAGCAAAATAAAAGAAACAAGAAAGAAGAAAACATAGGGTCAGGAACAAGTGGTCCCAGGGGAGCCATTCTGTGGCAGCTGTGCCACCCACCCAGAAAGTAGGGAGCCAGAGCTGGAGCAGAGGCAACCGCCCCAGGGAGGACAGCCTGGGGAAGAAGGACCATCTCCAGAGAGAAAGCAGGACTGAAAACCTAGACAAAAGGAAAGAAAAAAGGAGAAAGGCAACAAGAAACTCAAGGAAAACACAAAAAGCTGCACAGGAAAGTCATGGACCGCGTAGGAAACAAACTGTGAAACAGCAGGTTGGTAGCATCAAAGCTTCGAGGAGTTGTAAGAAAAGAGACCCCAGATGACCTTGCTGCTAGGAATGTGCTCCCTACACAGACGACCCTTCTAAGGTCTTGTCACTGGTCCGGGAGATGTAATTCCAGCACAGATGATCTGTCCCAGCCCTGAACAATATTACATAGTCATAAAAATGTAAACGCCTTCAATGGGAGTCAAATTGGTAAAGTCAACGGATGAAAATGCGCAAAAGACCTTCTCGTGGATACGGAGAGAAGGTGACTGCTGATGACTTTGGGTAAAAGTAAAGACATAATTGGTAACAGAATGGATGTGAAAGGGAGAGCGAAGAGGTAGGAAAAGGAGAGAGGGACTGATTCCATGCCTTGCAGAGTAGAGGTGAAGACATACTGTCCATATTTGATGAAATATCATGCAGAATTTAAGTAGACTCTTTATCATTAGAATGGTAACTCAATTATTTTAAAAATAGTGTCATCAATCATTAGGCAGAGAGTAATGCGGTGGTGTAGAGCGTGCTAAACCCTCATCTTTCACATGGTGAGGCCAACCGAGTGTGCAAAGTGAGTAAATCAAGAAATAAGAGAGAAGCGAATCATATAGAGTTATGGGTGTAGACATCAGCAAAACCAGAAAATGTAAAAGAGAGACTGTCTCTGAGAGGTGATGGGAAAGGTTGGCATAAGAGAATAGATGAGCACGAAAAGCTAAACATGCAATAAAAACAAAGAAAGGAATCAATATTGCTATGAACGTGGAAATGCAGCTCTCACTGGAAACCTGACAGGAACTGAAGCAGACTTCTCTGTTTCTTTACACACACACATGCAGAACTTTCCTCTACCTTCTACTGTCAGCCTTCTCTGAGTTTCTGCTTCCTTGTAGCTTCAATTTGCCAGGAGCCCTTGTATCAGTCAGGATGCAGAAAGGAAAGAGACCAGACCCTGATGAATAAGGGATTTTTTTTCTTGTTATGTGACCTGGGGCATTTGTAAAAAATTATTTTATTGAGGTCACATTGGTTTATAACATTGTGTAAACTTCAGGTGTACATTAATATATTTCAGCTTCTGTACAGACTGCATCATATTCACCACCAACAGTCTAGCTTTTATCCGTCCCCATACATATGTACCCCTTCACCCCTTATGCCCACCCCCCACCCCCTTCCCCTCTGGTAATCAGCAATCTGTTCTCCTTATCTATGTGTTTATTCATAAATCTGCCACAGATGAGTGAAATCATCTGGTATTTGTCTTTCTCTGTGTGACTTATTTCGCTTAGCATAATACCCTCAAGGTCCATCGTGATGTCCCAAATGGCACAATTTTGTCTTTTTTATGGCTGAGTAGTATTCCATTGTGTATATATACTACATCTTCTTTATCCAGTCTCCATTGATGGGAAGTTGGGTTGCTTCCACGTCTTGGCTGTTGTGAATAGCGCTTCAATAAACATAGGGGTGCATAACTCTCTTTGAATTACTGATTTCATGTTCTTTGCATAAATACCCAGTAGTGGGATAACTGGATCATATGGTAGTTCTATTTTTAATTTTTTTTAGAAATATCTATGCTGTTTTCCATAGTGGCAGCACCAGTTTGCATTCTTGTGGGAGCAGAGGCCAGGCCAAGGGAGGCCGGTGAGGGCTGGAGCAGCACCCTGGGGCCAGCAGTCACAGGCAGCCTATTACCCCTAAGCCTGCAGGCTGTGGCAGGAACAGTCAGGGAACTTAGAGAGTGGGTGGGCTATCGGGAGGGCTGCCCTGGAGGAGCTGAGAGCTTGCAGAGGAATGAACCACTGCTGACCACAAGCAGGTGGGAGGGAGCCAGGGCAAGACACACCCTGCCTCTCTCCCCTCCCACCTGAGGGCAAGGGGGCCCAGTCTCCGAGGCACAGGCAAGGGGAGAGAGTGGCCAGGGGGCTGGGAGGGCAAATGGAGACCACGGACACAGCTTCGTGGCCTGACTACACCTAGAGGCTTCTTTCTATGCACTCCTCTGTTACATCCCATCACGGGCCAGGCTACGGATTAGCTGCCCGGGTCACTGCCTGGTCCAATCAGCTATACTGGAAATGGCTGGGGGTGAGGGAATGGGAAATGCACCGGAAACATCCTCGCTCTGGGTGGAGCCGCTTCACCTGTTGGCAGGTCCAGAACAGACACAAATATGTGCATGTGTAACATATAAATTAAATGAAAGTCGTTGTGACATTGTGGTTGGTCCGCCTCAGGGCTTAAATGCCTCAGGGCTCAAACGTTTACTGAGAACTGCCTGTGATGGAGGCGCAGTGAAACACTGCATTGTTCTCTCCCCTCCTTTCCCCAGCTCCTGTGTCAGTAGGCCTGATTATTACTCTGTGTTACAGACCAGGAGGTTGCACCAGCGGAGGTTAGTGCCCAGTGAAAGTAAGTGGTGGAGGCTGGATTTCACCTCACCCGGGCAATCTGATGCCAGATCTGAGCAACTGAACACCATTCTTGCCACATCCTAGAGAAACACAATAAAAATTAACATCATCTTTGAAAAGGGCTTACCTTTGGGCACAGTTTTCCATGAGCATGTCCAAAAGTAAACTATAGCAGCACTACAGTTAGCAGTCCAAGATTAGGGAAAACTGGGTGAAAGATATACGGGATCCTGCCAGATTGTTTCTTCCAACTACATGTGAATCTCCACTTGCCTCAAAACAAAGCTAAACAAATATTACTGTAGCAGCATCAATTACCATTTATTCATCTACTTCAACTCAACACTGGGCATCTCCTGTGTGCCAGGCACTCTTCTAGGTGCTGGGGACCAAGCAGAGAACTGACAGAACTCCCTGCCTCGTGGGGCGGGCATTCTAAAGGAAGCTGGCTTGTCCAAAGCTTCACTCGGTCAGGCTGCTTATAGTCCAAATTATTAAATACTCACTTATTACATAAATATGGATGATGAAGCATGCCATTCCTCATCCCCCGTAAAGTAGGTCTGAGGAGATTTCCCTGGGCTACTTGACAAAGTTCAGGATATTTTTTTTTTTTTTTTTTTTTTATATATTTTTTTTTTTTTATTAATGTTATGATAGATTACAACCTTGTGAGATTTCAGTTGTACATTTTTGTTAGTCATGTTGTGGGTACACCACTTCCCCCTCCGTACCCTCCCCCCACCCCCCCTTTTCCCTGGTAACCACCGATCAGATCTCCTTATCAATATGCTAATTTCCACCTATGAGTGGAGTCATATAGAGTTCGTCTTTCTCTGACTGACTTATTTCGCTTAACATAATGCCCTCGAGGTCCATCCACATTGTTGTGAATGGGCCAATTTCGTCTTTTTTTATGGCTGAGTAGTATTCCATTGTGTATATATACCACATCTTCTTTATCCAATCATCAGTTTCTGGGCATGTAGGCTGGTTCCACGTCTTGGCTATTGTAAATAATGCTGCGATGAACATAGGGGTGCAACGGACTCTTGAGATATCTGATATCAGGTTCTTAGGATAGATACCCAGTAATGGGATGGCTGGGTCATAGGGTATTTCTATTTTTAACTTTTTGAGAAATCTCCATACTGTTTTCCATAGTGGCTGTACCAGTTTGCATTCCCACCAACAGTGTATGAGGGTTCCTCTTTCTCCACAACCTCTCCAACATTTGTCGTTCTTGGTTTTGGATGTTTTTGCCAATCTAACGGGGGTAAGGTGATATCTTAGTGTAGTTTTGATTTGCATTTCCCTGATGATTAGCGATGATGAACATCTTTTCATGTGTCTATTGGCCATATTCATATCTTCTTTTGAGAAATGTCTGTTCATGTCCTCTGCCCATTTTTTGATCGGGTTGTTTGTTTTTTTGTTGTTAAGCAGTGTGAGTTCTTTGTATATTATGGAGATTAACCCTTTGTCGGATAAGTGGCTTGTAAATATTTTTTCCCAATTAGTGAGCTGTTTTTTTGTTTCAATCCTGTTTTCCCTTGCCTTGAAGAAGCTCTTTAGTCTGATGAAGTCCCATTTGTTTATTCTTTCTATTGTTTCCCTCAACTGAGGAGTTACAGTGTCCGAAAAGATTCTTTTGAAACTGATGTCAAAGAGTGTACTGCCTATATTCTCTTCCAAAACAAAGTTCAGGATATTTGTGAATACCAAGCCTCGTCTCAAATGGTAAATAAATGTCATTCTTTCTGTCCACTCTTGTGTTTAGAATACCTGGAAAATTTAAACACCACTTCCACACATGCTCAGAAAGTCTAACTGCCTTCTCTTTCCTCCTCTTCCTTGCTCTAGGCTACCAAGAGCATCCAAAAAGGAAGAGGTGGGTGCAGTCAGTTCTCATGGAGATGATGGGGCTGTGATTGATGGATTGCAAATCCCGGCTAGTGTTCCCAAAGAAAGACATTTCTCTTGACCATTCCAGTGCCCTAGAGATCCAAGACATCCAGGAAGAAGATGCAACCAGCAGACAGAAAACAGCAGCCACCCAAGCGCTGAGGAGAGCCCTTCCGGTCATCTCTGTCCCAGCTCCAAGGTCTTCTCCATGATGGCCTGTAACAGCACGTCCATTGAGACTTACGAATACTTGCTGCTGAACGAGAGCAATGTGTCAGACTCTGGGGTGACCACTCCTCCTGCCCCCCTCAGGATATCCTTGTCAATTCTCATGATGCTGATGATTGTGGTCGGATTCCTTGGCAATGCTGTCGTCTGCATCATCGTGTATCAGAGGCCAGCCATGCGCTCTGCCATCAACCTGTTGCTCGCCACGCTGGCCTTCTCCGACATCATGCTGTCCTTATGCTGCATGCCCTTCACTGCCATCACCCTGATCACTGTCCACTGGCACTTTGGGGATTACTTTTGCCGGCTCTCGGCCACACTTTACTGGTTTTTTGTCCTGGAGGGCGTGGCCATCCTGCTCATCATCAGCGTGGACCGTTTTCTCATCATCGTCCAACGCCAGGACAAGCTGAACCCACAAAGGGCCAAGGTGATCATCGCCGTCTCCTGGGCCCTGTCCTTCTGCGTCTCTGCTCCCTCGCTTGCTGGCTGGACGTCCGTGGAGGTGCCCACCCGGGCCCCTCAGTGCGTGCCAGGCTACACGGAGCTCCCGGCCAACCGCGCCTACGTGGTGACACTGGTGGTGGCTGTGTTCTTCGCGCCCTTTGGTGTCATGCTCTGCTCCTACCTGTGTATCCTCCACACGGTCCGGAAGAATGCCATCCGTGTCCACAACCAGTCGGACAGCCTGGACCTGCGGCAGCTCACCAGGGCTGGCCTGAGGCGGCTCCAGCGGCAACAGCAGGTCAGCGTGGACCTGAGCTTCAAAACCAAGGCCTTCACCACCATCCTGCTCCTCTTCGTGGGCTTCTCGCTGTGCTGGCTGCCGCACTCGGTCTACAGCCTCCTGTCGGTGTTCAGCCGGACGTTCTACTGCAGCTCCTCGTTCTACACCACCAGCTCCTGCATCCTGTGGCTCAGCTACCTCAAGTCTGTCTTCAACCCCATCGTCTACTGCTGGAGAATCAAAAAGTTCCGCGAGGCCTGCGTAGAATTGCTGCCCCAGACCTTCCAAATCCTCCCCAGAGTGCCTGAGCGGATCCGAAGGAGAATCCAGCCAAGCACCGTCTACGTGTGCAATGAAAACCAGTCTGCTGTTTAGGCGAGAGGCAGGAGGAGCACAGGGTCCGTCGGTCCTTCCGCCCTGCTTCCTGGCACTGTGGTTGCAGGCAGCCTTGCGTGGTGGCCACTGAAGCACAAAGGTACTCATTTGTTACCAGATGAGCTGCGGCTCCCAAGTTTGCAAGATGAGCTATTTTTGTTTACTGCTGCAGAACAGTGTGAGGGTCTGATGGACCTGGAAGGTAGTTAAGACAAAGCAGGAATGGGCGGGGGAGTGCGGAAGCTGGGCAGAAAGTTAGGGAGGAGGAGGGGAGCAGGGAGTGAAGTTGGTTGAGTGCGGGACAGGGGAGCGCTCTAAGGGGCTCCCTTGACACCTGCTTAAGAGAAAGCCCAGCAGGTGTCTCCTCATGCTATCATTCACTGTGTGCGATGCCAGCGTTCGTCAGAGGTGTTTGTGTTCGCGGTGTGAGGGGAAACATGCAAGGGTCATTCCCCAGGCCGTTTATGACCACACCAAATCATCCTTTCTGTAAACCCAAGTCACGCCAGGAGCAGAGTGAGCCCGTGCTTCTCAGTTCCTCTGTGTACGCACGGGAGGCCTCCGTGGCTGGAAGCCCAGAGAATGTTCATGGGCAGCGCAGCTGAAACGAGTAGCCCACCTGAGTGCTTGTGCTTGTACCCACCCCTCCTGCAGGCCCCGGCCCCCCGGCCCCACGCCTGAAGCCTCCCGCCCTCTCCTCTGCTGTGACAGTCCCTCTGCCCCTTCCCTCTTTCCATCCACTGCTCCTATGCCCCCCTGTTTTCATTCCATCTGTCCCAGCGCACAGAAAGAACACGCTCCTGTCATTCACCTTTCCGCCAGTATTTGTGGCGACTTGGTCCAATCTCAGACATGCTCAGGGGTGTGGTGGCGTGGTTTACCTTCCTCCCGACCCCTGAGGCTGCAGGCCTTGTGAGCCACGCAGGGGGCCTAATGAACACCCCCCTGGGCAGCTCCCCACCGACCTCTGTGTTCCTCCTACCTCATTCGGATCCACGGGAACCTGACTGCTGCAGCCTGGGCCACCTTCCTGGATCCTGGTCCTCCGAGCCGGGCGGGGCTGGGGTCCCGGGACTGAAGCTGCCTAGGGGGGACCTTTCTGCTTGTGCCCAGGGCGCCCCCTACCACCGGAAGCTTCTGAAGTTGGGGATGATTTTGATGAGTTCAGGGCCCACCACTTAGTCCACTGAGCTCTCTACAGTTTCAGATCTGAAGAGAGAAGTTTAAGGAGAGATTCAGAAAATCTGATTCCAAGTCTAACTCCATCAGGAACTAGTCATGTGAACTTGTTCGTGTCACGTCTTGCTCTGGGCCTCAGTTTCCCCATTTGCCAAGCAAGGAAGCAGGTCTAAAAGATCTCCAACGTCCCTGTCTTCTCTCAAACACTCCAATTCTAGAATGTGTATGTTTTCTACTCGTAGTCACCAGATCCCCTGCATTCGTTTCTTTATCCATGCCGTCAGAATTTATTAAGTGCCTACTGAATGCAAGGCACCGTGGTGAGATAGTGATGAACAAGGCGTGGGCTGCGCCCAAAAGGAGTCATCCGATTTATCTCAGGATAAGCGTCACTCACATTTGGCCTGAGAGCACAGAAGCTCCCTTTGTGTTTCTCCTCTCATTTCCCTTCCAAAGTTGTAGTAAGAGGCCAGCCCTCCATTCTCATGCTCTCTCCCCAGGGTGCAGATGGTGACAGAGGTGCGAAAGGGAGTGAACGTAATTTACATTAGTCTAAGCCCAGGGAAGGGCTTGTCAAGAAAATAGTTGACACCTTTTCTCACCAACTCCCGCCTTCTTTTACACCCGGAGGGGAGAGAGAGAGAAAGAGAGAGAATATGAAGACAGGCAATTGGTGTGTGATTGATTGCGGTGGGTCCTATCAATTCTGTGTCCCCAGTGTACCCCCAAGGTTTGCCTTCTGTCCCCACGAGGCAGTGCTGCATGGCCTCAGTGGTGTCCAAGAGCACAGCCAGACCACCAAGGGGACCAGGCCATTGGGCACCCTCCCCTCTGGTGGGCATTTAAGAGAATGTTCTTCAAGAGCCTTGAGCAAAAAGAAGTCACAAACTGAATGAATGAAGGTACCAAAACTCACATCAATCAGTGTTCTATGATGTATGTTGGACAGTAATATATATGTTTTCAAGTAATAATTTTGTATATATTTTATTTAAATAAAGCCTTATTGCTCTTTCGGTGTATAAGCCTATGTTGTTGCCGAAATTAGCACCAGGGGCGTGAACAGTAAGCCAAGAACCTGGTGTCCAGCACCTCCTAAGACAAAACAACTTCAGGAATTCCAGGACTAGTGGAGGACGTTAATGGTAAGACAACCACCAGGAGACTGTTGACAATGAGGCTCACGACTGGGGCACTCCAATTTTCTTTTTAATCACAGCCCCACTAAGTCACTCCGGCCAGTTAGTCTGCACCTCTGACTCTCAGTTTGCCACCTTGAGAGCTCTCCCGGCCTCCTTGACCCTTCGATGACCTTGGCTTTCCTCAGATACTGCATAAATGCTGTAAATGCCGTTCTTGCCTCCCTCCCTGAGGCCCACAGGGCAAGCACTGCTGTCTGCTCTTGTTTTCATCTCCTCGGTAACCTCGGGGTTCCCCCACACTCTGGGCACCTGAATGGTTTCCCTGGGGCCGTGGGAGGTGACTGTGGGAACAGCTGTCCCAGAGGCCAGCACCTGGCTCTTTGGGAGAGCCTAGCCTCAGAAAATGAGACACGAGCGAGGCTCAGAAGTGTCTTCCTAATTCAGACCACCCCCGAAAATCCACTGCCTTTTCGTCTCGAATCTTGATCCCTGCCATTGGGGTAAACAAAAGCAAGGGTTCTCGAGGAACCAACCATTCTGACAACCAGGATGAGCAACAAAAATCTACATCAATTCCTACTTTGCTATTCTGAGCCCTGGTGTCTTTTCCCCAACATGATTGACAGCACATGCTCCTTTTGGACTGCAAACCCCACTCTGTTAGATATTTCTGACCTTGCTCTCGTTGCCTTGCTCAAGCAGTCAGCAGCCCTGCCTCCAGAGCCCCTGACGTCTCAGGAACGCCCGGCGCCCAGGTTTCCGCTCCCTTGGAAATGCACGGGCAGTGGCGCAGAGAGGGCAAGTGGTCCAGAATGGGCAGTCCAAACCCCAGGGTCCCTTGCTTTCTGAGCGACTCCAGGAAGTCGTGGAGCATTTCTGAGCCCGAGCTTCCTCATCTCCTATGTGGTGGAATTGCTCCCAGGCAGAGGGCCCCCTCAAAGAATAAGTGAAATAAGGTATATAAAGGATCTAGCCCAATGCCGGGTCCATGGTAAAGGCTGAATATACAGTGGCAATAATGATTACAGTTGTCCTGTCAACGTGCTTTATGGCCCGGGTTTATCCTTGCTGTGCAAGGATAGAAACGTGTTTCAGAAACTGGCCATTCAGTCCCTTTCCTCATCCTCATGTGGCCCTCAGATTTCAATTGACAAGAACACAACACCCACGGCTGCCAGGAGCATGGATTTGACCTTAAAGAGCAAAATTCACAATGGCCTGAACTGTACCACTTGGTTCCATTGGAAACTCTCCCTAGTCAGAAGGCCACGTGCCCAGCTACAGCCTTCCTGACGTGGAAGGAGAGGACGAGGATTTGGTGGACTCCCCGCGGTCTCTGCCAGAACATCGAGTGATTTTGCAAATTCTGAGGTCCTAAGTATAAATTTCCAATAAAGGAGCCTTCGCTCATTGTAAAATAGACACACGGCTTATCACATCATCCCAACATGTTTGCTTCTCTCTTTCTTCACATCCACGTGCAGAAAGCGCACGCATCTGTGCCTGTCCTAAGGAGATAAAGTCACCACATATTTAATCTTTTAGACACAAAAGAAGGGAGACATGAAAGTAAACTGTTTGAAAATTTGCAGCCACAAAGGAATGAATTTTGCCCTTTAAGATAAGGAAAAAAAGTGCTATTTAAAACAATAATCAACAGTAATTGAGAACAACTCTGCCTAAGATTTGATTACATTAAAAGCAAGAGGATAATTTCAAGGCTCTGCCTGCTGAGAGGTGGAGCGTGGATGCCGAAGGCCAGGTGGACCACCGCGTGTGGAGGGGGGCGCAGGCCAGGCCGCAGCCATCTAACTAGTCAAGAGGAGGAGGGTTTGGGGACCTTAGCCGGGAGGTTAGCATCTGGATTCTGTAAAAATGAAACGATGTTTGAACCCAAAGCCATGGTGTGCGTGTGCACACGTGTGTGTGAGTGCACATTATTTTGGTAGGCGTCTGAGGTTACTGTGGCAGACAGTTCAAGTTCACCGTCTGCTCTTTCACCTGTCACCCTGGAGGAGTGGGAAACAAGGTGACATGGGAACAAGACAGGTACCCAAGATTGTCCCGCTCCCAGCGGGAACCAGGAGGGGCGGCAGCTCAGACAGATTTTCCTAGTTAGTCTGATAGGAACGGAAAGAACTTACCTGTATGAGAAACACCTGGATGCAACCAACACCTTACCTTCTGCAATCACGAATTCGAGGGCACTGATATGCGAGTTCAGCCGTCTGAGGTGGTCAAGTCAACGCCTAAAGACCCCCAAGGCCTGGGCAATAGGAAAAAATTCCTGCACTGGGTCTGCACACTCCATCTCCTCGTGCTCTCTCCTGCCGCCTCTGGCATTGGCTGCCCCTGTGCCAACCTTTCCAGTCAAGGAAAAAGCAGCCCGGCTCATATTCAGAAGCATTTTTCAAAAGACAGATTTGCTGCTCCTTATTAACTGTCCTTGTGGGGACTATATTTCTCCTTTCCTCCCTCATTGAAATGCTGCTGCCATATTCCCTCATTACAGGATTTTGCTGTGGTGTCATGGAGACTCCGAATGCTTTATTAAACCATAAAGAAAAGGTCACTAAAAGACAAACATGACTGAGTAATTTAAAAATGCATGTGGAGGGGCCAGCCAGGTGGCACAGCGGTTAAGTTCGTATGCTCTGCTTCAGCAGCTCAGGGTTTGCCAGTTCGGATCCCGGGTGCGGACATGGCACCGCTTGGCAAGCCATGCTGTGGTAGGCGTCCCATATACAAAGTAGAGGGAGATGGGCACGGATGTGAGCTCAGGGCCAGTCTTCCTTAGCAAAAAGAGGAGGATTGGCAGCAGATGTTAGCTCAGAGCTAATCTTCCTCAAAAAAAAAAAAAAATGCATGTGGAGAAACAGAAAGCTTAATTTGCTTTCAAAGCACAGGCAGAGGCTAGGGACAAACATTATGGGGCACAGGGGGCTCTTCCTCCCCACAGCGTCCCATTCTCTCTGGGATCTGTGGGCCTCCGGGGAAGCAGTCAGTCCAGGCTGCTCAGGAAGTGCTTCCCCCTCTTACGAGCCCTGGGGCTGCGGAATGCACCCACTCACAACCTGCACAGGGAGGGTGGGGACCCCTGTGGGTTTCTCTCCAGCGGGGCCCAGGTGAGCGCCCCTGGCTGCTTCCCCATTCTCCATGGGGACACGTCCCACAGGCGTCTTGTCACAGAGTCTAGGTCCCTGCTCCACCCTCACGTGAGCTCCTTCCGCCTGCAGACCCCTATTCATTCTCTGGCCTCTTGTCCGGTTTTCTCAGATCTTTCCTTCTCCTTCTCAAAACATGCAATAAGCAGATACGGGTAAGCGCTTAACTAGATATGAGCTGACACTAACATATTAAAGGTTAGATTTACATCCTGTAAAAGAATGGTATATTTTCCATCCTTATGAATAAATGCCCCCTCGTCCTAAGAAAAGTTTTAAAAATGGCATTACTGATTTTTTTGATTATAGAGGTAATTTGCTGCTTGTAGAAATAAAAACAGAACAATTAATATGTTTATTGGATTTTCTTTTTACCCAGACGCATAAAGAAAATTAAAGATTTTTAAAAGTCTTTTTTATTATACATTAAAATAAGGTATATTTTCTTTTGCAAAATTCAGTTGATACTATACCACATCACAACTTTGTAGCTTCACTTTTGGGGGTTTCTGTGTGTTTTGAAGTGATTTCTGATGGGTGGAAGTCTTCCATTGTGTGGATGCGCCATGACCTAAGTTATTTACTCCGTTTTTCAGGTTTTTTCCTACTTTTCACTATTTAAAAAAATGTTGTAATGAACATCTTTGACATAAATTTCTCTGCCTAGCCACTGACTGTCCTTCTAAAATAAACTTCTAAAAGTGCAATTAGTGGCTTTTCGTGCAATAATAATTTTTTTTTTTTTTGCAGAAAGTTTGTGGCAATTTATTCTCTCATCAGCTGTGCTTGAGAATTACCAAAATCTTGGGAAACTGTTTGGCTAGGTCACGAAGCTCTTCCCATTAGCCACCGATGGGCCCTCTGCCCACAGGCTGGGCCCAGGCTCCTTTGGGCCACAGTTGACCTATGAACTGGGGCATGAAGGTGCCAGGGAGAGAAAACATAAGCTGTTGACAGAGGAGGCATTATTCAAGAGTCTCTAGTTTTGTAATTAATATATATTCACTAATTATATACAGAAAAGTGTAAGAGAAAAAAATTATTAAAGGTATTTAACACCTCCCCAGAAACCAGTTTGGACTGAAAGGGTTAGTTATGGCATTTACAGGCCAACTTGAATCACCTAGACTCAAGAAAGCCTTTGAACACAGAAGAACTCTGGCTGGCTGGTGGGCTGGCCTAGGAAGGGCTTCCAGACCATCCTGCGTCCCATTTCTCACCCTATGCTCCTCTGAGGCAAACTTCCTACCCTGCTGTTGGAAGTACATCGCACCTTTTATGTTCAAGTCTCTGTCCTGAGAAGCAGAGTAGAATACACTGTGGCTGCCCCGGTAGCCGGATCTAAAGGATGTATGGACGCCTTTTATTTTCTGTATCCTGACGCTTTGACATCAGGGGCCGTGCTCACCCCGGAGGAACTGCCCCTCCCAGGGATAGCTAACTCCACAGAGAGTGAACCGCATGCCTGCCAGCACACCTCTCAAATACAGACCAACCAATCCCGGGCCTGCTACCGGACAACCAGGGACAGCCCCTGTGTCCAAGAGCCCTCTGAAATCACCCCAGCTAGCCAGTCCTCAGCCTGCTGGCCCGGCTCAGCCATTCCTCCACGGACACCGCAATCAAGGCTCTCCTCCACAGCACTCCCCTCCTTCCGCCTCCTGACTGACCTGGTGCTGCCCCAGGTGGCTCCTGCAGCACAGTGTGTCTCCCCCTCCTGGGATCTGTGAGGACAAAAACTGTCTTTTCAACGACAGTTGTCTCCTGATCTCTTGGCCTTAATATGCCTCAAATTTTCTATTGATAGGCTATATTTTAAAATAAAGTATTCCCCAAATAAACTGGCTAAAACATTTTGTATTATGCCCTTTGTGTGTACGTGTTGGGGGTCCTTTCCTACGTCATCAAAAACTATGTAAAGACTAAGATGAATGAGCAACATACTAGATGGAAATATTGACAGTGGTTGCCCCTGGGCGGTGGGACCGTGGTCCTTCTGCAGCTCAGATGCTCGCATTATCTTCCGCTGAGAAGCGGGATGAAGCCTCAGCATCAGCCTCATCTGCCACCATGCCCTGCCTACTTCCACAGCTGCAATCAAACCCAGCCTCTTTGTCTCCTTCTCCAAGAGACCATAATCCCTCTCGCCTCCAGGCTTGGCCTGGCTGTTCCCTCTGCCTGGAGCACTTTCCTTCCCACTCAGGGCTCCTCCTCTGCTCCTGCTGTACCTGCACTGCCTACCCTTGGCAGCTGTCCAGCTGCGTCATAATTATCTCCATGGTGAGCTCCAGCAGGGCCAAGACCAGGTGTGTCTTTTTCACCATTTTATCCGCAGAACTTAGCACAGTGTCTGGCACATAGCAGTTTTCTAACATATACTTGTGGAATGAAAGAATGAATACATGAATAAATGAATGCTTGAATTGAAAAAGAGACACCACCCTGTTAGTATTAAATGCAGCTCTTGGTAATGTGAGTCCCGTAGCCCGTCAGCTGCATCCTTCTGCGGCAAGGTCAGTTCTATTTCTGCAGTTGCATGAATGTGACAGTAAAGTTGGAGCATGTCACTGAGGCTGTGACTGCCCCGGGAGGGAACATGGCCACTCCCCACCGAGGAGAGCCCCACACAGTTGCCACGTAGAGAGAGCCTTCCGTCCTCCTGGTCCACCGGCTGTGCATCCTGGCACAGACACTGCGGGTTGGGAATGGCTGACCTTCTCTGTCGGCTGCTAGGAAGCAGCTCATTTTCCAGTATTTCTATAAGCACAAGATATCTGAAAATTACACCAGTAGGTGCAGATTTAGCACAAATCGGAAACCGGCATAGCCCCTGCATGTTTCCAGTGTTCAGTTGCTTGAAATTACAGTTCTGGGGCAGAGATGATGAAGGGTTACTTCCAGGCCATCCCACCTTCCACCTGGAATTAGATAGCCTTTGCTGTGGGCTCCCCAGCACCCAGATCTGCAGTGACGGAGCAGAAACACGTGAGAAACACCCAGCCCTGAGCCTCCTCACAGCAGCGAAGAGGGAGGAAGGAAAACAGGCCAGTTCTAAGGGGCTGCAGCACTGCTTCCCGGACTTGCATGTTTGGAGGAAGTGGCGACTACTGGCCCTCCCCATCCCAGATCCAGACACACACACGAGCTGTCCTGTCGACACGGCTCGCTGAGTGACTTTCTTGCTGTCGCAGGAAAGCGAGAATGCTCGCTTCCCACCCTGCGTTCAGCTTCGTCAGGTTGTCAGCACTCCCGGAATGCCACTTAGTGACCAACTCACAGGCAGGAACTGGAGCCCCAACAGCTTGAGCGGCTGCCTAAGCATGGGCGTGGCCAGGCTCTGGTCGCAGGCACACCTCCTTCCCTTCCGGAGACCCTGCAGAGGGTTGTGCAGACAGGTTGGAAAAACGACAGAGAACGTGCACACCTTCGTCAGGAAGCCCGCCAAGGAAGCACACAGCCCGAGATGCTTCGTCACAGCATCCACGTCCGGCCTTCACGGCAGCTGCGCTGGCTCTGGTCACTTTTCTGTTATAAGTGAGGCTGGCCCTTGTTTCTGAATCAGCTTTCTGCTGCTCATGTTGGGGAAATCTTCGTGTTTTTCTCTGTGCTGATTTTGAACCCATTGTCAAGGGCCTGCATTAGACCATTTGTGAGTGTTGTTTGTTGGTCTGTTTTAACCCAATGAAGAGATTAGGACCATAAACAGTTGACTTCTAGACGGCGGCGATAGGGTTGCAGTTTACAGGATGATATATGAAATAGCAATGCTAACGTTATATAAAATATGTATAAGCAAATTTTCTAGTACACACACTTTGGGTAACTAAATATACTATTTTAAAGCCATGAAATAGAATATTATTCAGCCTTAAAAAGAAAGGAAATTCTGACACATGCTACAGCACGGATGAACCCTGAGGACGTTATGCTAAGTGAAATAAGTCAGTCACATAAGGACAAATGCTGTATGACTCCACCATAGTTACCCAGAGCAGTCACATTCATAGAGACAGAAAGTAGAATGGTGGTCGCCAGGCGCTGGGGGAGGGGAATGGGGAATTTGTGTTTAATGTGGACAGAGTTTCAGCTTTTGGGAAGATGAAAAGGTTCCGGACATGGATGGTGGCGATGGTTGCACCACACTGAATGTTCTTAATGCCACCAAACTCTACACTGAAAAATGATTAAAACGGTACATTTTATCTGTATTTTACCACAATAAAAAAAAAATCCATGAGAATGGCAAGAAGACTAACATACATAGAAAATATATTAAATACAGCTATATTAGAATATGGTAAACTATCTTTTTCGACAGAAAATTGAGTTTTGACCATGTTTACCAATATAAAGTGAATAAATTAACTCAAAGAAATCAAATGTCTTTGGAAGTATAAACAACAACTGGGGAGATGCTCTCTTTAATTCTCAAGAAAGCAAAAGTTTAACATTTCGGTTACCTCTATTTACGAGCTTAAGTCAACAGGTGCCTGTAAATCAGCATTGCATTAAACAACTATTTAGAAGTAGGTCTGGCAGTTTTACTCTAAGGTGCTGACTGCAGAGGAGGGAGCCGGGGAGTGCCGGCAGCCTGAGAACCCCAGTTCTAGAGCCCGCCAGCTGCTCCAGGGGAATCCTAACCGTGCGGCGACAAGACGGGGCAGAGGCTGGGATGAGCCAGGCCGACGGGCAGCAGGGCGCAGCTGCCCGGTCATGAAGCTCACACTCCCCTTGACATTAGGTGGGGAATCTGCCTCCCCGGCTTGGCTGAACACCAGTGGAATCAGAAACGGAAAACTGGTATTTCAAGTGAGACAAATGGAAAACATTCTCTAGAGAAGAGAACCCTTGTGGTGAAGGACTGCGGAAGCCAGAGCACATGAGGAAGGGCGAAGAGATTCTCAGTCAAGATTGGGAGACCCTGGAGGAAAGGGGCGCCTGGAAGCCAGCTGCTGGAAAGGGCACATAGTCCAACTCCCGGACCAGCGTGTTCAGACTACAAAGAGGCACTTTTCTACTCGTTGCAACACTGCGCTGAGACTGTGGGAGTGCTCAGACATCCACCTGGATGCTGCAGCAGTCCCTATGCTGGGTGCTCCCCTGAGAGAACTTAGATCCTACAGGACAGCATTGCCTTTCAAAGGCTGGACCATCTCCACTACTTTGCCCTGATTTCGCCTGCTTGGAACGGAGGGTCCTCAGACACCACCCAGCTCCGCTTCCAGCCTATGGACAACATCACCAAGGTCCAAGGAATGAGACTTGCAGGATCACAGCTGAGTGTGCCCAATGAGACCCAGCTCTTCCTGCACCTAGTGGTAACATTTTACTTCTCAAGTCACCCTCAGCCTGTTGAGTCCTATGTGTTGCTGTCTAACCCCTTCTTGCCACCTGTCTTGTTTAACTAATTTACAACTCTGGACTGCAGACTGAATTATAGCTATTTGTTTCCCCTCCCCGGCTGCACACTCAAGAAAAGCAGGCTTCATTAACTCTGCGCTTATCTCTGAACAAGGTATTAACAAGCTTTTAGATGGTGCTCCAGCCATTTGGCTTTTTTGCGAAGGTGAAAGGGCCCCTGGTCCATATGGTCTGGATTCTCGTACATTTCCATTTCAGACGCTAAGGTTGACAGATCCACTAAGAGCAAATGGGGTGTCAGTTAATATCTAATTACTCCTCACACGAGTCACAGCCCATTTAACTGAGGCAGGCGCCAGTCTCTGCCTCCACCACAGACACGGTTAGGACACCAATTTACGCTCTTTCTCTCTCAGCCCCTTGGCCTTGTGTTCTTCTCACAGGCAGTGAGTCCACCACTCCTCCTTTCTAGCCGGGTTCGTAGCCCCTTTCATCTCTGGTCTGCTATGCACCACGGGCTACCACTGACACAGAAACGAGAAAAGGAGAGTCAGGCTGACGCTCCCTGATTTTCTGTTCGAATACAGCCAGCCCTGGGTTGGTCTCTGGTTTTCTCCTTTGTGGCTGAAGTGCCAGGCGGGAAATGGGCGGGCGGGGACTGTGGCTCTGGTTTGAGGGTCTCAAAGGCCGGGAAAATCACCCCAACGACACGCACCTCAGTTTCTTCAGCCTCAAATACGGATGACTCATGACACCTCACCTCCACATATTCGGAATTTACCAGCCTACGACAGCATGCAGCTCAGGGTGAGAAGAGTCAGGGGCTGTGTTACCCCACTCTCCTCAGGGCCACCCCGCACCTGGAGGGAGAGAAGGAACCCGGGAAAGTGCCGCGAAGTTCATTCAATGGGAGTGCTCAAAGACTGCTATGAACAAGGCTCTGAGGGATGGGTCAAAATTTAAAAGGTGAAGTTTAAAAAAATTACATTCCTTGAACACACTCAGGGTTAGAAACCCAAGGGCAGAGGCTTATTTAGGAGCTCTCGGCTAAAAGGTGAAGCACTCAGAAGCACCCAGGAATGTTCTCTGTTAAACTCCTCAGGGCACGATTCCTCTGAAGGCAGCACGCAGGGAGAGCACCTTCAGAACAGGCAGGAGACAAACTCAGGAGTGGATCATTGAAAGGTCGGCACAGAACAACAAAGAATTCAAGGGGCGCCAATGTAAGTCCTCTGCAGATGCTGGTAGGGGCCACCAGGTCCGGATGCCTAAGTTCCAGAGCTCTTCAGACTAGGTACCATGCAAGTGGGAACCATCATCTCACCAAGATAGTTTTATTTAAGAAAAAAAAATTACAGAAGGAACAAAGAATTAAAAGAATTTTAATAAAATCAACAAGTTTACATTTGTACATCTTGGGTATTTGGGACCCAACCAGGGCGAAGGATAAAGTTGCAAGGACAAAGGTTTCCATGGGAGAGAAAGAAAGATGCAAGGGCATCCTCGCCGTGTGACAGGCGTGGATCTGACGGTGCGCCCATGGCGCCTGAGCCCACTGCGCTCCGAAGGACGCCCACATTCCCAAGCTCATGGGCGCAGGCTCTCCAGCTCTGAGCTCAGGCCCAGGGCCCCATAGCCTCCACGACACCCCCACAGTAAGACTTGATAGGCAACAGCAGGTAAACAGTTCATAAAACTAAAATAGTATTGCCCACAGAATATTAATGTCAGCTGAGTCCAGTTCATGCTGTTTTAACTAGAATGGTTACGCAGAACCTAACGAGGCAGAAGAGGGCTGAGTGATGCTTCGAATTGCTCTATTCAACGGCACAGTCACAAAGCAGCAGGCCCTCAGAAAGAACCATGTATTTCTTTTAAAAATATGATTTAAGAAAACGGGTTTGTGGGAGTTAGAGAAAGGTATGGTTTTAACACAGGAGGCAATTCTGCAGTGTCACAGAACTCTGCCTGTGTTAGAGGATTCGGTAGAGGTGGAAAACGGTTCAACTTGAATTCTCGTTATTCTAAAGGATAACAAACACTTCAAAATATTGATCAACGTTCAGAGGAAAAAAGAGACCAGTGTCCTCAAGTTAACAATGAGTAATCACAAGTCTTTTTCAAGATTTTACCCATTTTGTGCACAGAGAAACAGTGCTTTTAAAAGTGCAACATTGCATGACCTAGTAACTTGCTCTTTGCGGAATAACCACAAACTCATAGGTTGTGATGATAATGTACACAGCTGTACAACCATCCCGTAACACAGTCATCCACAGGGTAAAGCTCACGACCGGGCTTTGAATTCATACCAATTTACCCGGCATATGGTTGAGTTACAAGGATAACTTCTTCATCATTTATTCTGTAGATAATTGAGATATAGTTAGGAAAGAATGCATGGATGCCTTTGCTTTCTTGGGCCACTTAGAATCACAAAAGGAAAACGAATACTGACCATTATTAGTTCAGGCAAACATTTTTTAAAGAATGGAGAATGAGCCCCTCCTCCCTCGGGCCCAAGCTTGGCTGATGCTCCAAGGCCCTCTCCTGGCACATACACGCTAATGCTTGTTTTTTGAGCGTTACGGCAGGGGGTACAGTGTCTTTACTGTTAGTTCCTAATAGAATCCATAATCACAACGAAGAAATTCAAGAGGGCAGTTAAGTAACAACAGCTTGGGCTTCCTAGAGACGTCAGACAGAGAGAGACAGTGAATTCCCAGTCCGTGGTGAGCAAGAGGCATTCCTCCTGCGTGTTCAGGAAACCTCAGAGCAGGCGTGTAAAGTGCTGGGAGGTAAGGCGGCCTGGCTGGACTTCCTCACAAGGGTGTGCAGGAGCACCCGCCAGGAAAGACGACGTCTCTGTCACATGCAAGGCAGCTGTCACCACTGCCCGCCCTGCTAAGAGTGTGAGGTCGAAACCGGCCTCCCCGGGAACGCGCTCGGCTTGTGCTCATAACGTTTCCCTTCTAATTTCCCAAGTATTCAATAGGAGGTACATTTCAACAAGAAAAAATGTCCCTAACCAATACGACAGATGAATGTCTAAACAAGAGAAAAACTACAAAGATGATATAACTTCAAATAAAAACTTTTAGTCAAACGTGTTGATTGTGGAGTTTCAAATCAGCAGACGATGCGCCAAAAAAGGAACACACATTGGGCCCTCCCCCGCCATGGTCTCCTGTCTGCTGTTGTCTTCAAGACCGGCAAGCAGCTTCTCTCATGGGGCTTTACCAGCGTCTTACAGGTCTTCACTTGCTGGGCAGCCAGAAGCACACAAACTTACCCAGAAGGGAGAGATTGGGTAAAGAAGGCAGAATCTTTCAGGGGTTGAGAGCAGATGGGAAGAAGGAAGGAACACAAATACTTCCCTCAGGTCAGCCATTTCCAAGGGCAAGGCAGAGCCCCCGAGGTCATCTGGAGAAACAGACAGGACCCCAGCGGCCGTGCCTCGTGGACGGAGAGGGTACTTACACGGGACGGGAAGGTGCGGGTGAAGCCCGCCTGCCACAGGGCTCTGTGTCCTGGCCACTCACTCAGCCGAGACAGGGCTTCACCTTTGCCACCGTGAAGCAAACGGTTCCAGTGCAAATGCAGGTCTCAGGCTCGGGGGGTGGGGCTGGGGGCCGTCTGTCTGCATTGCACGGGGAAGGCTCATTTCCTCACACAGCAGACGTCTGTTTTGGATTACTAAGAACCTGGACGGGTGTACTCTGGCAGGTGTCTGTTTCCGGGGTTTTCCATTTACATTCATTGCAGAGTGGTCAGCAGCCAAGAGGCCCTGGTTCACATGACTGAGGCTCCCCAGCACTCAGGGCTCATCCCGTCGTCTTGGCTGACCCAAGGGCAGCGGCTTCCTGCTCTCTGCACCCAGCAGCCTTGGTAAAGAACTCAGGGTCCCCCTCGCGCCCTCGGCTGGGCCTCTTCAAGTCCGGGTGCCAGGGCTGGGGGAACTGGGGTTCGTTTGTCTGCTGGCAGCACAGTGCGTGTGGACGAGACCTCCATTTGGATACCTAACAAACACGGGCTCACAAAAGGGATTTTGGCACATCTGGCAAAGCTTTTTGTCCGAGAGCCGAACTGAGCTTCCTTTCAACTTCATCTGCAAAAAGAAATAAAGACTGTGGATTCTCTCTCATAAAGTTAGACCAGTTTTTCAGAGTTGACACACATTACTCCATCGATTGCTATTACTGATGAGGACTGCCTTAACATCAACTTCTCGAAACAGAATATTAGAAGTGAAATTAAAAACATCCTTAGTATCTGGAGAAGTAAAAATAAAAACTGCAAAACTGCTTTCTTATTTTACAAAAGCAGCTGCTGCTTGTGTGGCCAAGGCGTTTCTAACCAAGATCCTCTCTCAAACATAAAGTCATGTAATGTGAGAGCTGAATAAGAGCATATAAATCATCTAATTCCTGGTTCTCTCATTTACAAACAAAAAACAGTAAGGCATGATAGGGATTTAGTCAAAGCCATTTGGTTGATTACGGGCACATTCCTGCCAGGTCCTAGGAAACATGATTTCATTTCTTTAAAGGTAAGTGACAAACTGAGCTGTGACTCCATTGCTCCCTGTCTCATTCGCCGGACTTGAATTCTGCAAGTTAAAAAGCCTTTCTGCACAATTCACTTGGGTCGACCCAGGCAGGTCAGCCTTTTGGCAAGATGGAATAGCAACTCAGTCGATTCGTTCTGTACTTATTAATCAGTCATTCAACGCTTATTAACTGCCTTCAAGATGCCAGGCTTGGCTCTAGGAATACTGAGGTAAATAAATGAAGTCCCTGCCCTCAAAGAACCGAGGTGTAACAGTAAAGGGAGACAATTACGAATGCACGTGCACAGTATGTGAACGGGCAAAGGAGACGGTTAGTCTGCTTAAAGGGATACCATGGTTTCACAAAGGGAAAAATACTTAGGCTGGGTTTCGAGCGGGCATTCACCAGGCACAAAAGGGAAAGGTGCGAATGTCTCAGGCAGAGGGTGGGCCAGGCGCAAGGGCCGTATGTATGAGGCCCCACGCGTCTAGACACGCAGCGAGAGATGGACAGGGATGGGCCAGAGGAGCGGAGACTGACTCTTCCAGGCCTTGACTCCCCCACTGAGGAGTCAGTGAAGGCTTCTGAGTGGAGGAACACACTGGATTCCTGCTCTGGAAAGATCGCCACCAGCTGCATGGAATATGGGCCTCACAAGACAGAATTCTCCAGAGGAGGAGAAGCCTGGGGACTGGTACAGACTGGACATTTGCGTCCCCCTCAAATTCACATGCTGGAGCCCTAATTCCCACTGTGACGGCATTGGGGGGGGGCCTTGCGAGGTGATTAAGGTTAGAGGAGGAAACGAGGGCGGGGCTCCCACGATGGGATTAGGGCCATTCTAAGAGGAGGAGGGACCGGAGCTTGCGCTCTCTGCCGGGTGAGGACGCAGGGAGAAAGGGGCTGTCTATAAGCCAGGACAAGTCCTCACCATGCACGAGGCACCGAATCTACCAGCACCTTGCTCTTGAACTGCCAGCCTCTAGAACTGTGAGAAATCAAAGTCTGTTGCTTAAGCCCCCCAGCCTACAGGACTCGTTATAGCGGCCCAAGCTGACTAAATATAGGGACCAAGAACGTGGAGTTCTGAATTGGCCTGCAATTCACATCTGGGCTCCCCATTTACTGTATGACTTCTCTGTGCCTCAGCGTCCTCTTCTGTGAAAAGGAGATAATAGCAGATACTGCATAAAACTGTTGTGTTGATAAAATGATACCATGGTGTAAAGTGTAGAACCGTGCCTGGCACACAACAGGTACTCAATAAGGAAGTGCTAGACTTGCCCACGTGCTCTCTTGAACGTCAGGGTCTAGGAGGGGAGGAAAACGACAACAGTGCCACACTGCTGGCCCAGTGTCTGCCTCTGCTCACACGTACCTCTGCTTCTATATGAGTAGAATAACACATTTGATGTGCTGAAGTTGCAGAGAAGACACATGACAAAGAACACTTTTCCATAGGCAAAATCTACCTTAAATAGAATGTTGATTGGTCAGGAAGCTAGCTCGCCTAGAAGGGCCAGGCTCTCACCTTATCGTATTTGTAGATTAAGTTTTCAGACTTGGCCAGGCCGACAGCCACCTGTGCTGTCCTCCTGGTGTGGACACTGTCCCTCATGGCCCCCGTCAGGAACGGGCAGAGGAGCTGCACTGACCAGGTGCCCGGCAGCAGCTGCAGAACCTGGGCCGCGTCAAATTCCGTGGCGTGGTGGTTCAGGAGGTCCACGGCGGCCACGGTCAGCTCGGGTGCGGAGGGCCCGGGGCCGAGGTAAATGGCCAGCAGCGTGTGGAAGAGCCGCTGCCGGTAGGGTGGGGCCCTGCCCTCGGAGCGCCACAGGCAGTAGTCCTCGGCCGCCGAGAAGTCCCTCAGCTCGTGAACCAGGATGCGCAGGGCTTCCTCGTGCTCCTCCAGCTTCCCGTGCAGGATGGCGCTCTCCATGGGAAGGCCGGCGCCCTGGATTCTATCTGTTGGGCAGAATCCACAAGGTAGAAACAGGCAGGGCCTGAGCCACTTGATGTGGCGATCCAAGGCAGAAGCGTGGTGCTTTTAGCTTAAGAAAGGGCAAAGCAAACTGGCCGCCTAGGCACTGCTGGGTGGCCACCAAGACGAGGGAGAGGGCGCTCTTGCACTTCCTCGTTTCGAATCTGGGTGTAGTAACGCCGAAGCCAGACTCTATTTATAGGGACAGCCAGATCTCAGAATACAGACTTCCAATAATGTTTACAGAATGAATAAAACAAACGACCCATGATCTCAGGAGGCCCCAGGGAAACAGTGAGTACCAGAGTGCCAGGGCTCCAGTTAATCCACCATTATTCCTATTCTTCCAGTACGCCATCTTTTTGACTAAAGCAGAAAGGCACTATATTCACTTGAATCCAGACACTACCAGCCCCCTCAAAAGTGTGGTGAACCCCCTTATTCCAATTTAAAATCTATTTCATGGGAAGGAACATGGGTTCACAGTGTTAAAAATCCCTATCTATATCATTTCCTTTTGTTTCTTCTGCAACTTAAGTTTCCAGGTTATAAGTAAAATGATGGCACTGAAGGAAGCCTCACTTCTGACCAAGGCCCCGCACTTCACGGGCCGAGTCTCACTGGCAAAGTCCCTTTGCTTTCCATCCCTCTGTAAAACAGGAAGAGGACGTAAGATTTCTTCCCACTGTGACGGGATATTCTGAGGACGACTCCTATTTCAGGGGCTCAGGTTAATGCTCAAATTGTAGGCCTTCTGCATTTAAAGTTGGCCACACTCAGGTCCTCTGCACATGGCTCATACCACTAGGCCTGCAGCAAAGGGCTGCTTCTACCACGCACAGCACTAAACACACAGGCTGCAACACACACCACCATCACCCTCACCAAGAACTGTCAGCAACAATCACTAAGTGGCTACCACGTTGAAGGCATGAGGAGAGGGGCAAAGACGGTTAAGAAAAGGTCTCTATAGTGATCTACACTTTTCACACCTGTCATCTCATTTACGTGCGATTCTCAAGGCCGCCCAGAGTGGGTAGGCTGGGCAGCAAGCGTTATTGCAAGGAGCCCAGATACACCCTGGAGTCACATGACTGACAAGGGGACAGAGTACATCTGAAATTCCCACACCTGTCCACAGTGCCTTGGGGGACACCCTCTTTCCTGCGAGCTCCCGAGCCTTCCCTGTGAGCCCAGACTCCTCCTTTAGGACTGTTCAAACAGGTCCTTCTTTGGGAGGCGTGCCCTGCCCCTCCACCCCAAGGCAGGGATCATTGCTCCCTCGGCCCTGCACAGAGCTTCTACCAGCCTTATCTGCATTCCTGGTAAAGTGAGGGCAAAAACCAAGCTACATCCAGCTTTCTAAGCTTGGTGCAGGGTCCGACACGCTACACATGCTTTAATGAGGTAGCTCAACGAGAACATCAATGAACAAACTCACGACCAGCACAAGATTTTTATAAAGGGGTCTGTGAAGCATCAAGTGGAAAATAAGTCAGGGGTGACAGTAAAAATGCCTAATGACCAGTACCGCAGAGGTACTGACAATGAGAAGGGACAGTGGCTGCGAGCGACAGTGTGGCTGATGAGCAGCACAGCCAAACGTCAGGCCTGGGGCCAGTGCAAGCTGGAACTAGTTTCTGCTGCTCCCGTGACATATCAACCCCAGCTGGAGTTCTGGGTCTACTGCTCATGAGCTGTGTGACCTGGGGCAAGCTGGGGAACTTCTCTAAGCTTCAATTTACTCTCCTGTAAAAATAATTAAAAAATAGGGCTTACTTCATAGGGTGTTGTGGATATTAGATACCCTAATGCATGATAAGTTTGGACCTATGCCTGCCATACACAGTCGATCCTCATTATTCAGATTCTGTATTTGTGAATTTGCCTACTCACCAAAATTTATCTGTAACCCCAACATCAACACACATGGTGCTTCTGTGGTCATATGTGGACATGCACAGAGTGCCGAAAAATCTGAGCTGCCTGACATGCATGTTCCCAGCTGAGGTCAAACACGGCAGCGCTGCCTTCTTGTTGCAGCTCTCCTGTAAGGAGACGTCCTCTTCACGGTATACCATGTGCCACATGGTTTGCATTTTTGTACTTTTCATTGGTGATTTCACCCTTTAAGACGGCTCCAAGTGCAGTGCTGATGCGCTGCCAGTGTTCCTAAGCACAAGGAGGCCAGGATGTGCCTTACAGAAAAGGCAAGTGTCAGACGAGCTTCACCGAGGCCTGGGTGACAGTGTGTTGGCTGAGAGTTCAATAGTAATGAACCAACAATACATATCAAATGAAGTGTCCTTAAACAGAAGCACTCATAAAATGAGGTCATGTATTGATCGGCTGACGCAATGTCATCACCAGAGGCTCGCGGGAACCTAAACCTGTACTTCCCCTAGGAGCAGCGGCTCAGGAGTCACTAATTCAGTGTTTGTGGCAACTTTCTAGAACACAACTACTGAGAATAATGAGAATCGACTGTAGTTAATGGTCAAAAATGGTGTTAAACGCTATTAAAGAGAAATTTGTTGCTAATCCCACTAAGATCAAATCTGGAAATTCTATGATGTCAAATACAGCAAGAGACAAGCCAATCCCAGCAGGCACGAGCACTGTGCTGCTTTGTGGCACTTCACACACTACGGAGACCGTGGTCTCTGCACCCCGAGGAAAGGAAAACTAGACTCCCCTCCAAGACACAGCACTGCCTCCACCTGGCTCTGAGGCTTGAGCAGTCCAAGGGGGCTGCTGTGGGCCGCGCCTGCTGGCAAAGCCCTGGTCAAATGCTGGAGGCATCAGAAGGATCTCTGATTCAAATGCTTCAAAGCCGAATAAGGAAAGGCAAACGGAGGCAGGCTCAACAGACACGCAGACTTTCAAACCCACCAGGGCAGCTGTTGTGTCATCAGTTAAAGGGCCAATGTCCATTTCTAGGGGGTGCAGGCACGAGAAGCTTTGCCCCATTCTCCAGGAAGGCAACTTTGTGCCAAAAGAGGCTCAAGGAATCACCCTATGGACTCAAAACAAAGAGCTGTGCAGAGCCTTCCCCGTCCCGCCCGCGTGAAGGTATCAGGGGAGAGACACTGAGATCCTCCTCACCCATCAGAAAGTGGACTCGGTACAAGTCGGATTTCTGCAGCAGCTGTCGTAGCTTTGCCTGCGTCTCGGTCACTTCCGCACCCCTGCCACCAGTGCTGGGTCCCTGTCGCAGCACCTCGTCCAGGTAGAGGAGTGCTAAGCGTGTGTGGTACTCTTCCTTCTGCAGGAAAGGGGATCGGAGCAGACAGACAGCGTTGGCAAGCGGGAAGCATGGAGACCACCCCCCCCTCCGGTCAGCAGTGCTCTCGAGACCAGGCTGTGCTGAGCGGAGCTGGGGCAGAGTCCCAGGGACAATGACCACAACACACTTGCGGGTCAAAACCCCTCTGAAACCAAAAAACAGAGAAGGTGAATCTAAAATCAGTGGGAAAAATATAAAAGGGTTACTTCTCATTTTGAGAAGTAAGGGCCACCGGATTCAGGTATTCTCCAAAAAGGTGTAGCTGCTCTCAGGTCCTTGAGGAATAACAACAAGGAAGGAAGAGAGACGAAAAAGGATAAGCTGAGTGGACATGAGACCAACAAAAGCTACTTGTTCCTCTGGTCTCTTTCACAAACCTCCAGTTCCCCTCAGACCATCAGCAAGTCCAGCCCGAGCACCCCGGGAACATATAACGTGACACAGGGATCTGTCAACAGACTGAGGGTCGAATCCGACCTCTGAAGCCACTGCTGTGACACCGCAGCCACAGCCCTGGTCTGAATTCTGACGCGCTCACCTGCAGGCTCCTGTCCACAACCAGGTGCTCCAGGTACTTAACGAGAGCTTTAGGGTATTTCTTAAGGCAAGTGATAACATCGTCTGGGTTAAAACTACTCTTCTGCTGTTCGTTCAAAGGTCTCTTGGTGAAAACTTGAACTCCAACCTGAAAGGAGAGTAGCGGGTATTGGCTCTCTCGGCAGTTTCCCCTCAGTGTCTCGACTACACTGTGGGACAATTATTTTGTTTAGAAACTTGAAAAGACACTGATGCCTCATGGTAGTACTTGGCATGGGAGGGTCCAGAGGGTCAGTGTCACTTTCTAAAAGAGAAAAGGTTCCAGCAAACAGTTCGGTATCTTGAGAGTTTGGCTCAATTTAGTGACTATGCTTTTCAAAGTCCCCAGCATCTCCAGGATGCTGGACAGTGCGACACAGAAGCACTGGAAGGCAGAACTTCCGCACGAGCTGGGATTCAGATGGCTCAAGGGGATGCATCAGACAGACAACAAAGGGAGCGGAGGGGGAGGTTGAAGCATAGCTTGTTTTCCCAGCTAAAATCAAGTTTTTGGTCTGTTTTTACCAGCCCCCCCCCCCCACAAAGAACGGGTTCACGAAGCACGGACCTCCTCACTTTTCTGCAAGGCCCAGCCCGCGTACTGCCACACCAGCTCCCGGTCCAGGCTGTGGGTGAGGAAGTCGACGACGTACTCGTACAGGTCCGAGCGTGTGGAGTCGTGAATTTCCCCATTCACGATGTTCACCCACAACTGCCAAGGAGCAAAAGATGTTTTAAAAAATGGAAGGTTACATGCCTTTTACAATTAGCTTAGAAACAGCACATGTTTACTTACTTGGCCTTTTAATACTTAAAAGTAGTAGGACAAATTTTAAATGCTTAAGTCACTTTTAATTTCTTCAGAGCAATATATAAATGTAGAAGACATGGTCCAAGAAATCCAGAAAATAAAGCACCAGGTTCTTTTTCTTTCCTTTTAAATGATGTCACAGTAATACAAACAGTAAATATAATGCATGAGAAGAGGCGGACGTATTAAAAATGTTTCTTCACGAAATAAACAAAATGATCACTGACAACATCTCAACACAGAAGAAATTTACCTGCATTCATCAGCAAGGCTGTTTCTACCTTCTCCATCACAGGAATTCTGGATTTTGAAATCCTTTTTGGACTCTGAGAGTCAGATATCATGCTTCTAAAAACTTTATTGATTCTATCCCCTAGTGTTGTGTCTTTTACACTTGATGATAGATTTAAAGTCCTTTGTTATTTGATCCAGAAAAATCCCTGATGTGTAAACCGAAGTTTTTTTCAGAACCCCAGAATGAGGCAGCATCACATGGGGTGGGAGAGATGGTGGCTGCCCACGCAGCATCACCTGTGTCATGTCCCCCCTACCTGTCCACCTGCTGCACTTCTGAATCAGAGCACCAGTGAGAAGCCCAAGAAACAGGGTGTGCTGCGTAAACCATAATTCTGACATGAGCATGTGCACAGTTTTTTATGGTGAGAGTTTCTTCAACATCGAATTCCCTAAGCCAAATAACCTACTCACACACATATTGAAATGCGTCACTTTTTAATAGTAGAATTCTGCCATATATGGTTTTTTCCATATTATTTCAATTTTGCAAATCTCTCTATAGCCCTGCCAATGTTATTATTACACTTATATCAAGCTGCAATTCTCTGAACAATGTTTTAAAAAATAAAAATTTTATCTTTGATACCCAAATCAACTCTTAGCCATTGGTGCATGATAATGGGAACCCACTATGTTTAACCTATTCTGCAATCACGTTACCATGACAGTTTCTCAAAGCAACCAAATACACGTGTGGCTTTGCCAAAGTCACAAAGATGACTTCAGCTTCGTGAGTACCACTGATACTCCTGGCCACTCACAAAACAAAACAAAAAAGGAATGTGAGGAAACTGCAATACAGAGCAAGACCAGTGGATGGCAAATGAGGGAAGGGGAGAGGTCTCCCAAGAGTGCGAGGACATTTGCTCAAGATCAGGCATGAGAAGTAAGATGCAGGCTAAGAGACAAAACTAGAAATCCATGCCCTTTTCAGTTCAGGCGTGGCGCCCTCGCTCGGGCCACCTGTAGACTCGTTCCAATCCCAGCTCTACCACTGAGCAGTGGTGTGACCCTGGGCAAGTGACTGGCCTGGGTCAGCTTTAGCTCTGTCCCAGATGACACGGGGACCATAATTCACCCAGCTCACTGGCAATAGCTATTGTCATTAACAGTGGAAATCATAAACAAACTGTTATTCACAGGCTTAAGTGTCTGATAAGGCAGTGATGTCACATGCCTTGTGGCTCAGTAAAAAAATCATATTTTTATGAATTTTCAAAAACTCAATCTTGATAATGTTCTTTAAAGAGATATAAAGACAAAGAAAACTCAAGGAATTCACTTTCTAAAACTATTATTTTTGTTCTGTAAAAAAGGTTAGAGATCAGGCAAAAATGGTCTCTATCAATTTGGGACTTATTTTTAAGTGACACTTAGTGAAATGTACTGATTTTCAAATAATGCTAAAATGCTCTGGAACTAACCTGAACTGCAGCCGCATCCTGGTTATTAGAATGATAGAGCAGTCCCAGTGCAAAATACCTGGAAGAAAACAACACGATGAGCGCACCCTGCCCTCACCGTCTGCTGTGGGCAGCACCCACACCAACGCCCCTGGCCCTGGTCCCCTACTCCTGCTCTGTATTCTGTTCAACTCAACGTTCAACGACAAATTTCAAGTGACAAAAAGATCCTCATTCTGTTCATTTACTTATGGTATAAAAACGTGCACCCTATCGACGTCCAAAGAGGATCATACTCAAGTCGAAGATAAACTGAAAAATATAATTATGCTTATACTATGGAAAATCAGATGCGGAACTGTTTTATAATTTGCTTCAAATATTAACGTAGTTTCATATCTCTTCAGTTAACCATTATTAACCCATCACGAGGCACTAAGTGAATATTTGGAAGGTATGCTGAGTTATTATGCAAAGAGAGCAGAAGGAGTTGGAGTGTGAACAGCAATGAAGGCCAACAGTATCCAGGCATCACAGAGAACGGAGGGCCCTGGGGAGGGCACCCAGAGTTCAAGACCTGAGGTTCAGTACCGGCTTCATTCATTATGGACTATGCGACCTCGAGCAAGTCGCTGCGTTCCCCCGCCCTCCACTTCCTCGGTGTGAGCGGAAGGGTTAGCAATAACACCGGCACCGCCCCAGGTTCCGCAGGTGGGTCCTGCTCCTGGTCCTCCTCCTCCCCGGCAGGTGCGGGGCAAGCCGACCTAGGAGGTCAGATTTCTCCCCTCAAAGAGCAAACTCTCAACATACTGAACTATTTGCTGGAACCCTTCTCCTCTCCTTAACCTTTTAGAAAGCTACACTGACTCTCTGGACTCTCCCATCCAAAGTCACGACCATGAGGCATCAGCGTGTTTGCTGGTTCCTTTAGAATATTCTATAGAATATCTCCATTCTACTGTGTGTTTGAGAAACTGAGGGAAACTGCTGAGAGCACCAATACCCTCGTGGAGACCAATGACAAGCCTGTACCGTTGAGGCATCTGAATGAGATCCAGCATTGGAGCTGCCACCGTCTCCGGGGAAGTTCAGCTGCACCTTTGCCATTTCAAATACATAACAATCATAGACAAAGAGTCCTACTGCTTAGTGGAGTTTAGGGATCACCCGACACCCCTCATGCTTAAAGAAAAAAACCCCTGAGGCTAGAAGGGTCAGACTACTTGACAACCTGCCCAGGAGGAAGAAGCTGCTGGCTCTTATCTAGCCAGTCACTACAGACAAACTGCCCTTGTGCACACGGCACAAGGCAGCGGGCGGCCGCCTACCAAGTCATGCACACAACGAAGGCCGAGTGTTAAGCCATAACCTTTTATCAACAAGGTCAAGAAGCCTCCCACTTGATCTATTTATCCAGTCATCTATCTATGCATTCAATTTAGTCATCAATGACTAAAGTGCACGATTAATTTACCAACACACATGTGGCGTCTCCCACAGGTGAATCCCAGATGGAATAGGGAGGAAGATTACGAATCACTTCATTTACTAACAAGGCCTATGCCTAGCTCCAAACAGTACTCTATCGCGGAAGAAGTGGTATGAGAGTGAACGCCCTCCAAGACCCCTTCAGTCGGTCTGCAGACCATGAAGAGCGATAGAACCTGAGGGGTGCTGGGCTGTCACCATGATTTCAAGGTAGTCATTTGATGAATCTCTTGGGAACTCACACATCACACTGGCTACCTCAGCTTCACAACAGTCTCCCCACTGGATGGGGAAGGGCCAGGCATGAAGCCCCTGGTTGCTTCCAGAAAGAGAACACTCACTTTTTGTGCTTCTCTAGCCAGGCAGCGCTGTCGGTCAGAAGACAGAAGTTCTCGGTGACCAGGAGGTCCAGCAGACTGTCATGGTCAGCCTCCGCATACAGCTTGAGCAAGGCTGTGTCGATGTCTTCCTTGTAGCCGTTTGCTACCTCTGTGCTGCGGACCTCGTTCAAGTAGCTCATGAGGAAGCGCTTGCACTTGGCCATCTTCTCCTGGTCCCCTTGGGTCAGCTGGTTGAGGTCTGCATACTCGTGGAGAGGAGGGTGAGACCGTGTGAATGAAGAGGAGGTGGGCAACAGGAAGGGGTAGAGAGAGATCAGCTCCCGGACGTCAAGCTGGCCGCTTCTGCAATTACAGTGTCAAACTAAATGAAGCAAAAAGAGAGAAAGAGTACACATAGGCACACAAAACAACACTGGAGGGGCGTGCAAGTCTGCACACATTAATGGGGAGCTGGATATGCGGGTAAACACGGCAGAGCAACCGCCCTAATTTGCAAGCGCAGCTAAGCCCTGCTGAACTGTGTGCCACCACCTGCACCCAGAAAAGAACAGAGGGGACCACGAAAGACACGCACACAGCCAGCGTGGAAGGAAGTAGGAGATCAAAACCCCTGAGGCGAGCTGAACACCAAGTCAGTGTGGACTCCCTGGAGACCAGGGCAAAGACAGGACACACAGGAAACAGCATCACTGTCTGACCGCGGGCAGAGGACAGTCCTTCTGAAATCTCTAAAGTGTAAACAGATTCTTTCACAGGAGAGACTTTACAAGAACATAACTCACAATTTCCTCATCAATAATTTTATGACAGAGGACAGAAGCATTCACGTGGCCACTTCTGTGGTGGCTCTCGTTAGCATTTTAGAGCAAAACAGCAGGATGCCACTAAATGGCTAGTGTAGCATCCAGACCTTGTAAGGCCCAGGAAGCCACACGGAGTGAGGTCCCATCTCCTCCCCTGCAGCCTGCTCGTCCTGTCTACAATGCTAACAGTTAAAGCCGGCATCACTGAGCCGTGGACCTCAACCCTGGCCCAGCACTAGACCCACCTCCAGGAAACCTCTTGAGGAAGAGAAGCAGCGGCCCTGCCCCAGACACACCGAGTGGGAATCTTGGAGGGCGGATCCAGGATCCGCACTTGCTGTGACATCCACGCATCTGCCTACCTTCAGGCTCTGATCGTCTCTCCTCCATCCTCCTGGCTTCCTGCCTCTGCTCTCCTGCCTTCTACTCTGCTCTTTCCATCCTCGCCCTCTCCTGACCTTCAGAGGTTCTATACTACCCACAAGAGAGACTTCAAGCCTCTTAGCATGGCATTCAAGACCCTTCCTGGGGCCAGCCCCCTGGCCAATAGGTTAAGTTTGGCATGCTCCACTTTGGCAGCCCAGGTTCACAGGTTTGGATCCCAGGCGTGGACCTACACCACTCGTCAGCCATGCTGTGGTGGTGACCTGCAGACAAAACACGAAGACTGGCACAAATGTTAGCTCAGGGCTCACCTTCCTCAAGCAAAAAGAGCAGGATTGGCAACAGACATTAGCTCAGGGCTGATCTTGCTCAGCAAAAAAAAAGACCCTTCCTAAACTGATCCCAAACCACCTTACAACTTCAGCTCCAACCATCCCTCTCACGCTCCAACACTTGACTCTGCCTCATTATTTTGCCAGTTTACACATTTCACGCCACTTTGCCTTTGCTGTTTTCTTTGCCTGAAGCAGTGGTTCTCAATGGCAAGCAGTTTTTCTCCTCGGGGGACAGCTGGCAATGTCTGGAGATATTCTGTCAGGACTGGAGGGAGCTACTGGCACTAGTGGGTAGAAGCCAGGGCTGCTCCTGCCCATCCTACTACACACGAGAAAGCCCCCACAACAAAGAATTACCCAGCCCAACATGTCAACAGTGCCACAGTTGAAAAATCCTGGCCTAAAGTATGATTCTCAACTTGGGAAACTTTGGCTCATCATTTATGGCCCAGGACAAGTCCTGAGATAAGTCCAGGCTCTGCGATGCTCCCACAGCCCTCCACTCACACGCAGAGCGGCACCTATGCTGCACGACAGGCTCATACCCATCTTCCAAGCCAGCGTGGGCAACTGCAACAGCAGGGCACTGTCTCACCCGCACACATGGGCTCTGGTGCTTAGGCCAAGTTTGCAAAGTGCAGGAAGTGCTGACCGGGACTGGATGCAAGGACAGGCTGCATAACATCCAGAGGAACAGACACAGCGCATACGTCCCCACAACATGACTCACAAACAGGCTCTATGTTAGGAGCCAACCATGATTAGCACTGAACTGAGAAGGAACCTGACGACAAGTCCCAGAGCAATGAGAAAAAACAGCCTGAGTCATTAGCAACGTTTGCTGTGGGCACAGGAAAGGGAAGCGGAATCAACCTCGTCCAGGAGTATCTTCCTCAAATATCAACCTTCTCAGCCACACTTGTGACAAAAGCTGGGCTGCAGTCAATTTCAAGTTAAGCTATTAGGAGGCTGAAGTATGAAGTATAGGAAGCTTGTATTCATGACTGACAGGCCCCATATTTATTTTCCTACAAAACTGGTGAACTTTTCTAGGAATGCAACCACGGCCACTCATCCAGTGTTTCAAATTAACCCATCAGAAAAAGATGTAATGGGAGGCCCCCGAGGACCCAGCTGCAGAGGTCTTCCACATCGGAGGGACAAAACAAGATAGGACAGAGAACAGTCTAGGTACAAGGGGCAAAGAATCTATTTGAACCCAAAAGCTAATGATCTTTCCAGGAACAGAGGAGAACAGCACACACAACTTACATAAGTAAAAGTCATATAGGGTATCATTATTCAAGAAGTGATTCCCTCTCTACTCAGAAATCTCTATTCTACAACCAATTTTGTGACAGAGCAAGAGATGAGAGCCGCTGTGGGTGTGACACAGCCTGGGTTGTACTGCAAATACCCCAGAGAGTGGCCAGTGGACAGCACACCTCAGAGAGGCCTCCTGCTCTGCGGTGACCCGCATGAAAGGATCTAGCTGGAGGCTTTGTAACATCTTATCTCTGCAGTGGCTCGGAACTACGCATGATCCATTCTGGGTAGACATTTTGCAAACTTCTGCACTAGGCAATGCTTTAGTAGGATACTTAAAGACCATCATAGCAGGCTTACCCTAATCTTCTGCAAGCAGTGCTGAGCAAGCACACACCGACCACTGCCTCCCTGAGCCCACCAGCCTGAGAGGAACGCGCACAGGACAGCAAAAGAGTGCGTGTGGGACAGGTGTGGGGTGGGGGGGGGAGCTGGCCCAGGGGGTACAGTATTAATCATAATGCCAGAAGAGACCCCCATAAGAGAAATTCAACTTCCTGAGACAGCTAACCAGGAAGATGCCATTTAAAAAGTCCATAGAAGAAGAATACATTTCATGAGTCTTGCCACAAGCACCTGCTCTTTTCCTACACTCATAGCTTCTTGTAAGATCTCTGGAGAAAAGAAAAAGTGAGCAATAGTACTTCCCTAGGAATCCTTCACATGTTATCAAACTCACTCTTTAGAATCCCCTTCTCCTCTCTTCACAGGACCATTACACACGCCCCTCAGCAGCCCACCCTCTTCAAGATGCAGGACAGTTAAACCAGGCCTGAGCGTGCAGGGTCCTCAAGGAACGAGCGTGGGTCTGTTACTACTGCACGCGACCTCGCCGCTTCCACCTGAAGCCGTCTAACCACGGCCGCACTCCCGCCGCAGCGACACAGCTGAAGTGGCGGCTCTGACCACAGAGGGACACGCAGCCGTCCTACCAACACCTCAAATTACCTGAAGAGCTCTTTAGCTTCCAGGAACTGCAGCTGCGCAAACTGTATGAACCCCGCCTGCTGCAGGATCCTCCTGTACATCACCTGCAAGGAAAGACAGGTTTAACCTCTGAGAGAGACCTCGCAATCATCACAGCAGGGAGAAACTCAATTCCAATCATCAAACGAGCTAACAGTTAATGATGACACAGAAATCTGAAATTACAAGGTAAAGGAACAGCAAGGCATATATGAAATTATTTTCAATATACACACATACATACGTATGTATCTGTATATGTATGTTGATCAACCTCTCATTCTTGAAATTGAGTTGTTCTCTATTTTACTATCCTGCCTCCTCCTTCATGGGTTTTTCATCAATCCCAATCTTTCCCAAATGCATTCCTTATCTCCTATTCTCCTCCTCATTAACTCGCAGGCCTTCGATGATCGTTTCTATTCTAACTTCCGGTTGCTCAGGTGTAACCCCTGTGGCACTGCCGGCAGTCTAGAAGCAGCTCACCCTTCTATCACTCTCCCGGAAGTGACACTGCACGGCCGCATCTCTGAGCATCCCTCAGAGCACAGGCCGATCCACTGAGTAAATAAACATGCTTTCCTGGCCAACGCTGGGGAAAGGCTGTGCATTCTCTCTCCTCAAGCTGATGATATCCCACACTGACACGTCCCAGTCTGGGAACTCCTGAAAAAAAGGTGCCTGTTATCTGCGATTAATCCAGCACTCCCCAGACACTTGAGAACGTTGTCTCGTCATGTCTTTACTTCCAGCCCCTCCCTCTCACCGTGCAGGCCGGTCAGTTTCCGAGTTTTGTCTATCCTTCGTTTGAAATAGCTCTTAATGCACCTCTTCACTCTACTCTTACTGGTTCCCTCACCACAGCCCAGGCCCTCATCACCTCACAATTAAAGACTCTAAGTGTGTTTCGGACTCTGTGACTTCTTAACTCATCTTCCTTCTAATCCATCAAGCTGTTTTATAAGCCATAAATTGCTTGAAGGCAAGGCACACGCATTATCCATCCTAGCATCCCCACACCCCTAGCATAGCATCTGCCATTTGGTACCTGCTTATTGATCTGAAGAACTAGCTGATCAATTTTTATGAAACTCCATGTTCATTGTCATTTGCTATCCCCATTTTACAGACAGGAACATTCTGCTCAGAGATATTAAGGTTTCAGCCCAAAGTTACTAAAGTATGAAGTGGCTCAGCAAGGATTTAAACCAGATCTTTCAGATTCTAGAGCCCAATTCTTTCCACGCACTGATTCATCTGGGTACACGGCAGGCAGTTAATGCTGGTTCCACTGAAGAAGCAAGGGGAATGGAGACAGCCAGCAGCCAAAGGCCATCAATCCTGCTCCCTCAAACCAGCTTTAAAAGGGGCTTTTGCTATAGTTTTAGAGAGTTCTCAAAAGTCTACAACAGCTCCTTGCCGCCCCCACAGAAGTTCCATTAGGGACGCGAGAAAAGGCAGGCTGCTGCTCACGCCTCTTCTCACCGCCTGCCTTCACCTTTCTCCATGACACCGGCCACTGCTGACCTAAAAACCAGCCTATGGATACCACCCAGCAACAAGCAGACAGGAGTGGCCACAGCACTGCTGCGTGGGAAGGCCAGTTCCATCTCTGAAAGCAGAAACAATAGAGGCCATCCACTTAACAAAGAAAAAATGGGCCATCAGCTGCGGTAGAAGAATTCTCAATCACACCCAGGACGTGTGATGAGACCAGCTGAATAACAATTTATTCCTTGTGGCTGCAGGATTCAAACGTCATCTACTCTTCCTCTTCCTAAAGGGAAATAAAAACTACTTTTGCTGGGGGCTGGCCCTGTGGCCGAGCGGTTAGGTTCACGTGCTTCACTTTGGAGGGCTGGGCTTCACCAGTTCAGACCCTGGGCTTGGACCTACACACCACTTGTCAAGTCATGCTGTGGCGGCATCCCACATAGAAAGAACTAGAAGGACTTACAGCTAGGATATATAACTATGTAGTGGGGCTTTGGGGAGAAAACAAAAAAGGAGGAAGATTGGCAACAGATGTTAGCTCAGGGCCAATCTTCCTCACCAAAAACAACAACAACAAAACCTACTTTTGCTAACACTCCCAATATCTAAGATTGGGGGGTTATTTTCTGTATTCTACTCTAGGAATGCTATACAAAGACTTGGAAGAAGCATGCAGAGAGAGTCCTTCATCCTGGATAGAAGCACTAGATGTTGAAACTGTGGATGATCCAGAGAACACCATGGAAACCGACCTGAAAACATGGACCAGAAACTTTATCAAGTACAGCCAATTCTTGCTTCTCTGAAAGTGACTGTCTCCTTTCCAGATTGTTCACCAAAACTGACACCTCCTCCTGCTCTCTGCTCAGGTGATGCTGAACCACAAAACCTGGAGCCAGGAAGGCTGGCAAGAGAAGGACAAGAAGGATGACTACAAGGGGAGGACAGAGAACAATAAAGCGTGTTTATCTCCCCAGCATGGACCTAACTCCACAATGGAATCTTCAGCTTTCTTTCTACCTCACTAGTTGTCCTTCAGAAGAAGGCAGCCATCGGAATCCTCAGATGAAGAGAGTGAATGAGCAGAGCAGACCTGTAAGCAGTGCCACTCACTATCTGCTCTGTACAGGCTGGGGCCAAACACACCAGGCTTACAGAGTAGAATGAAACCAAGTCAAAACTGATGCTATTAGCATTATACTTCTGAATTGAGATTTCTCACTTTCGTGATTTGGGGAACTAAAAATGTTGTGAAACAGAAGATTCTAATCTAGAGATTTCTAAACCTGCTTTCAAGGCTGCATTAATCAAATATCACAGAAGAGCTTCTGAAGAGAACAGTTCTTCCTAGCACTAAATTCAAAATGTACCTTGTTTTATGGCTCTTCCTTAACACACACTGCCTAAACGAAATATAAACTTCTCCAACAAACAGAATATTATTCAGCCTTAAAAAGGAAGGAAATTCTGGAGAGTGACATCAACAACGTGGCCTAGTGAGCTGCTCCCTTTGTCTCTTCCCCTTCTAACTACCACTAAACGGACAACAAATGATCAACGGAGGATACCCACACAGCACAAGAGGATGCCTGAGAGACGCGTGCAGCTCTACATCTGAAGGTGGAGGGACTAGCCCTGGGGAGGCACTGGAGACAGGTGAGCAAGCTTGGACACCCAGAAGCCCTGTGCACATGTGCTCCTAGTTGGAGCACTCATAGCACTGCCGCAGCCCCAAGGGTAGAAGCACGCCTCGGAGTGACTGCAAGAACAGGTAATGGCAGCCCTGAGCCCCCGTGTGATCACTTTCCCTCTCCACTGGGAGAGCAGACAGTGCCAATGCAACCCCCAGGGAGTGGCCCAGCTTGGACCCAGTGGGGAGGCTGCACCCACCAAGGACAACAGCCGGTGCAACCTAGGAGGAGATAGCGGTGGATCTGCATGCCCAGGTGAATGACTTCCTGGCTGCCACAAACACCTATAGTAACGCTGCAGACCTGAAGAGGGGAGCGAGTCTTGGCGGGACTGTGGGAGCAGGCAATGGCACCCCTGAGCTCCAGTGTGATCACTTTCCCATCTGGTGGGGGAGCCCACCGGGCTGCTGTGGTCCCAAGGAGTAGCCCAGGCTCAGACAGGCACAGCTGCCAGGGATCATGGTGGGCTCGGAGTACACAGCACCTGTCCCCACCCCCAGTGGCAGCAGGTGGAATCTGCGACCAGATACTATCATTACATGATGACACAAATCCACTCCACCAAAAACTATGAGAAGGTACCTTAATATTCCAGACCAAGGGAAAATACAAACACCCAGAAATCAATCCTGAAGGCACAGAAATTTACAACCTAAATGACAGAGAATTCAAAATAGGATCAGAAAAAATTCAACAAATTACAAGAGAACTCAAAAAGACAGTTCAACGAAATCAGGAATAAAATTAATGAACAGAGGGAATTCTTCACAAAAGACATTGAAACTGTAAAGAAAAACCAATCAGAAATGTTGGAGATGAAAAACACAGTGAATGAGATAATGAAAAACCTGGACTTTCTGAATAACAGAGCTGATATTACGGAGGACAGAATTAGCAATTTAGAGGACAGAAATACAGAAATGCTTCCGAGAGAGGAGGAGAAACAATTAAGACTAAAAAGAAATGAAGAAATTCTCCAAGAAATATCTGACTCAATTAGGAAATGCAACATAAAGATTATGGATATTCCAGAAGGAGAAGAGAAGAAAAAAGGAGCAGAAAGCTTGTTTAAAGAAATAATAGCTGAGAACTTCCCAAACCTGGGGAAGGGGCTGGAACTACAAGTAAAAGAAGACAATAGACCTCCTAATTACATCAATGTAAAAAGACCTTCTCCAAGGCATATATGAGTAAAACTGGCAAAAGTCAATGACAAAGAAAAAATATTAAGGGCAGCAAGGCAGAAGAAAATAACCTACAAAGGAACGCTTATCAGGCTTTCAGCAGTTTTCTCAGCAGAAAGCTTCAGGCTAGGAGTGAGTGGAATGATATATTTAAAATTCTGAAAAACAAAAAATTTCAGCCAAGAATACTCTATCCAGTGAAAATATCCTTCAGATATGACAGATAAATAAAAACCTTCCCAGATAAACAAAAGCTGAGAGAGTTCATCACCACAAGATCCTCCCCACAAGAAATGATCAAGAAAGCCCTCATATCTGAAAATAAATAAATAAATAAAGCCTTGAGCAAGGAGATAAATAGACAGACAAAATCAGAAAGTTACAGCTCTCTATCAGAATGGGTTAGCAAACACTTAATTATAAAATTAAAGATAAAGGGAAGCATCAAAAATAACTATAATCACTTCATTTTAACCACAAACTTACAACACAAAATGAAATAAGTTGTGACAACAACAACTTATATGGAGAAGAGGAAAAGGATGGGATCTGCTTGGACTAAGGAAATAAGAGACTGTCAGAAAATGGGCTATCTCATCTACAAGATCTTTTACACACACCTCACAGTGATGACTACATAAAAAATCAGAACAGAGACACAAATGATAAATAAAGAGAAAACCATCAGAGAGAGCC